GTGGCTGCAGTCTGGGGCTCTGGCCCCCAGCCTCTAAAACTTCTTTCTTAATCATGTCCTGCAAGTAATAGGTGAGACATTAACATCCACTCCAGCTAATGTTAAATTGCAGTGAAAAGCAAAAGTAATAGTGAAATTGTATAAATCCAGTACTTCAATATTTAGCTCCAGGCCAGAGAAATCTATAAGCTAGTTAAAAAATTAAATGGGGCTTGAATATAGTCCACTGAAAGTAATGGCAAAAATCCTTTATCCTCAGATTAAGAAGGATCATGCCCATAGTGTGAAAAGGAAACATAAGTGGAAGTGCACTATGGCAGTTTGTTATTACCGCCATTATGGCATTATTGTCAAAGGTGCTGAGCATCACAGCTCTGATTGAGTTGAATGTGAGAGGTTTATATTCATCACCTTGGGAAATCCAGCACAAATACTTCTTCGTGCACTTTTCATTTGGCATTAATTTCAAATCTCTTTTAAGAAATCTATGCAAACCAAGCTGATTTTGCAAACCCTTGCACTCAGCAAATTCCCATTGACTTCTGCACAACTCTTCATTTACAAATGAGCTGGTCATACAGCATTGATCCTTGGTGACTCCCACTACTGCTTTCCAGCATTTGATCATTATTAGCAGCAGTTTGGGATGTCTGGAATTCATTAAGTTAATTTTTCATAAGACTTCAAATTCAAGCTGCATGGAAAGGAATAAATTCTCTCTCTCTCTTTTGTTTTTAAGAAGTGCCTCATCTGCTCAATTACATTTTTTAAATACTTAAACCAAAATTAAAGGCTAGATTGTGATGCCCTTCCCCCGATAATCCTGTATATCACAAGTATCATCACTAAAGTCAGTTATTTCACTCATGTAGTCGGATAATACCCAATTTGGGTAAGGGTGTCACAATCTGGCCTAAAATTAAACCCATTAGAAAGATACTCTGGTTTTGCAGCTGTAACTTGAACTTCTTCAATATCTAAGTGTCAGTTTATTTTGAGGAAATAGCTGTCTCACCCCAGGCCCATCAGAAGCATATGACTATGAAAATTAATTTGTGCTTGTTTCTTGCAGCTGAATTGAACACCATTGCTCCCATCATCTCCAACTTCTTCCTGGCTTCATATGCACTTATTAACTTCTCCTGTTTTCATGCATCATATGCAAAATCTCCAGGTTAGTTATGCAAGCTGAATGTAGGCATCACAGTCTGCAATAGCATAAAAAGTTGCCTTAACATTTAGCTGATGTCCAAAGAAAGCACCAACATCTGTAAAGTGACTAAGTTACATGACAGAGAAAAGGGTGGGTGGGTCATATCTTTTATTACACCAACTTCCACTGTTGAAAGAGACAAGGATTCAAGCTCCTCAGAACTCTCCTTTCCCAGATGTAAAGAGAAACAAAAGATATTAGCTCCCCCACCTTGACTCAGTCATGTCTCATGTCTCTCTCATGTCCTGGGACTCTCATGTGTCACATGGGTCTCTCTCATGTCCTGATATCAACATGGCTAATAGCACTGGAAACAAATAAGATATACGATATGTAGCCTGATCATGCTCCCACTAAGGACTGTGACTTATCTCTATACGTTATGTATCTCTATCTGTGATTTGGCTCTGGAAATATATAGCCTTATGTTCCCTGCAGCTGCACAGTACAGAAGGGAGCAAACCAATGGGAAAGCTGTGTTGAAATCCAGTGAAGGATAAAAGTTACTATATGGGATGTTTTCCCTGTTACAGAATCACTTCCACCTTCCCCTCTGCAAAACTCCACATGGCTCATCTGCTACTAGGGGAAAGTGGGTTGGCCAGGAACGTGTGTGTGTGTGTGTCGGGAGGGGGGGGGGAGATAAAGACCACATCAAGTAGCATGAACTTCTCTCCAGTAAATGCAATAGCTCTACAGGGCATATTGTAGTAAGTTATTAATAACAGTAAGACTGTTACGGAAATCGATAGCCCTCATAGGGGGTTACACAGAGCAGCAATGAACCAACCAAATAGTGGCAGCCTGGCTAATGGATCTGCCATACCTAGTAGCAGGGCTTTAGAGAAATTATTGAGAGAGCTTCCACATGGATGACTGGGATCCATGAAATAGGCATCCCAGATATCAACAGAGGTCTCACATTAATGTTTTGATCCAAGCTCTGATCCATGACTAGTCTATATCACTAAAAATCCTGGACTGAGTAGGAGGGAGAAGAAGAAGAAGGCCCTTTTTCCAGTTCTATGCAACAAGCCCTGCCTATTCATACGTTGGATTCATGTAGATCTATAGCACCATGGCCAGAGTAATCCTCTTCATTTTCATGAATGAAAGGTTGACAGCCACAAATAAGGACCACCTGAATGGTGCCCCTTTTGACCAACAGCAAAGGCAATTTTCCACTGCTGCAAATCAATTATTCAGTTCAAACAGTAGAGAAATACAATCTTTATTTCCAATGTGAAAGACACCACCGTGGCAGTATAAACACATATATTAACTCCCTTCTCCCAAGTCTGCATGCTGCCAGTTGTTCAGAGGGCAGAAAAAATAAGCACTTCTGCTAATTATCTACAGAGCTGAACAAATGCAGATCTGCTCTGTGCTGCTATAGAGCTCAGTACAAATTACCTCTGGTGCTCTTCATGTGTGCATCAGTCATGACTCTGTAACTACTTAACATTTCATATGAAACCATAGCAATTTCCTCCCTTAATTTTCCTTGCTTCCTTCAGCTAATTTCTTTGTCGCCTGCCAATTTACAGTGATAGATGCTCCTAATTGTAAGGCTTCAGGACAGTAAATTTCTTCACAGCAGTGCCCTCCCATTCCATCATTATTATTGTGATCCATGCCAGGGTTCTGGGGACCTCCTTATATCTTTAGTGTTTTTTCTCTTGTCAAAGACTCTGTTCTGAAGAACACCTGGTAGAGACCCACAAACCGTGCAGGTTCACTCTTTGACTCATCATTCTAATTGTTAGCAAGGGAAGTATTTAATATCACAGCTCAAGAGCCGCGGGAATAGTACCTTTTTAAAAGCCAATTGCAATTTTTTTGCAGTGATCCCAAATGATTTCTATGTTTAAAAGGCAGAAACACTTACAATCTTGGGATATATTCTCCTCTTGGTGCATGTGTAAATCTCATTAACATTAATGAGTTATATAAATGCATCAAAAGGAGACAATAACCTATTACCTGCAGTTATAGGAAAATCCATTTTGAGTTCTGAATCAGTGATCTATGATTTGGCCAAAGCATATAAATGCACTCGCTGTTTAAAACCAAACTGGACAAGGCAATCAAAGAGGTACTGTAGGGAACAATAGTAACTCAATATGACTTAAGAGACCCTAATGGTCTGAATATGCAAGAGATCTCAACTCAGCCGTCACCTTTTGCATACAAAACTGTCATCAATTACTTAAGAGAATCACTTCCTTCTTCAGGCTCTGCAAATATACATTCCATCACCTGTGTAATGCCCACAGGCAGTCCTGAACTTGGGACCTCTAGAGCTTGGTGCATGAGCCTGGACAGCTCTTCCTGTGGAACAGTTCATCAAACCAAGGCGTTAATTAGAATCAGGTGACCACATCACCTGACTACACTGTGGTAGCTGAAGTCGAAGAATCTAACTCAACTTTTGGCACTGCCTACACTGCAGAAAGTTGAAGGGAGAACACTGCCTTCAACTTCCCTTACTCCTCCTGGAAGCAAGACTACCAGCATTTATCAGAGTGCCCCCTCAGTTCCAATTACAGTGTCTTCACTAGACCCGCTAATTCAAGCCCTGGAAGATGGACAGTGGCAGCTTTGATCATCTCTGTAATGTAGACATACCCTCAGTGCCTTCATTTCATTACTCTACAATAAAGTTGACGTAACCCTGTCTCTATAGCTCCATCACATCATTGCAAGCTTCAAATCATGATATTGCCAAATAGTCCACTAAAGGGCCCAAAGCATGACAGCATCTTTGCTATACAATCATCCACTTCTTTTGAATCTCCTCCAATATCCTCCAAATATTTGACAGTTGCTAAGAGCTTGATGTCCCAACCTGACAGGTTAATACTGATTGTATACTGGCAGTAATCTGGAACTAGAGGCTGCTCGAAGTTGCTTTAGTAGTTCTGGCAGGGAATTTGTTTTATAAGGATTCATAACCAGACAAATGTGTACTGCTTCTTATCCAATCCGATCAGCAATTAACTGTATTGTTTTGCCATACAAGAAAATATCACTATATTTGAGATCTCAAAGCAAAACAGTGTTCATATCCATACCTTCTAGGGTCAGTACACTCAGGGTACGTCTAAACTACACCCCTCTCTTGGCAGAGGGATGTAAATTAGACGTATCGAAAGTGCAAATGAAGCTGGGATTAAAAATATCCTGCCACTCTGAGAAAGCTGCTATTGGGCCGCC